TACATATATAAATAACATTAATAAATAGTATATAAATACATACGTACATACATACATACTTATACACACACACACACACCACACACACACATATATATATATATATACGTGTGTGTGTGTGTGTGTGTGTGTTTGTGTGTGTATGTGTGTATCTGTGTACACATCCCGACGATATTGTCGTTCGCTAAGCACATCGAGGCCACCCCAATCCGCACAGGTATTCATATATAAATACATGCGTGTAACGTGTTGAGGCTGGACAAACACACACACACACACACACACACAAACACACACACACACACACACACACACACACACACATATGTATATATAAAAATAATTTAATAAATGGTCTTGCACAGAACGGCTTACATACACACCCCAATCGTAGCATCAAAGTGATAGGTTTTAAGAGGCTACGTATTTCTTACATGCGTATATACAACATAAGTTTATACACACATATGTGTACACGTATATCCATATCAAAGGATGAATTCACAGAACTGGCTAAACACATACCTCAATCATAGCATCGGTTGTCTGCTCGCTTTGGGGCGTGGGATCGCGATGCACATACAACGGCGTGGGGGCGTTTGGATCACGACCACGACTACCCAGATGTCCTACTTCAATCACCTAAAAAATGTAGGAAAAAAACAAATAAAGTATGTCTGAGAAAAACTGTATCGTATGGTAAGCTGACTTTACTAGAACGATTTACGTATGCGGCTTATCTGGAAAGGCGAAATATGCGACAGTCAACATATATTCATACATGTATTTACCATGAGTGGTTCAGAGTCACTCTAACTCAACTTAAAAACTGTGCGTAATGTGCACCTGCGGTGTAATAGTGTGTGCAAGCGGTGAAATAGTAAGTTCATGTGGTGTAATGTGCGTGAAGTCATCCTGTGCAAATATAACCCGGTATATATGTGCATTAGATATCGGGACAAGAGATATAGACAAAGCATTCTTCACCAGACTAATCAGAGGGGTGAGCACACGCTCAGGACTAACTTCACATCGTCGCGAGTACGATTGCATAAATCACAAATATAATGACAACACACGCTGTACATCATTGCGGCCATAATATTCTAAGCCTTACACATGTGTTTGCGACCGACACGCGTGATAAGTTTAAAATATGCTGCTTGAACCTTGAAACCCGAAGGCGCTCTCATTCAGAAGTTGAGTAAGCGTATGCTAATAACCCTAAAACCCAAGTCTATATACCAAACCATTCAACCCCGACGAAGCAAAGGCTAATTCGCAAAACAAATAGCTTTCTAGAGCTGTCAAACCTAGAAGTATCTATCGCGTAAAACCTATATAAGCATTTGTCAACACAGCACACCGCCTTATTATCGGCAACAATAAGCTGCTATTCTGCTGCGCAACCGCAGGATAGGTATAACCTAACTCAGTAATTCTAAAACCCTCTCTCTGGCATTTGAACCTTAATTTGTGAACGTGAAACATTAACACCCCAAAAATTGTAGAATCAGAAACAAAAAATAGTGACATACAACCAGGACATTTGTAAACGACAAGTTGCTATCCTGCAGTACAACTGTGTGACTAGCATACGTCAACTTATAACAAAAAAAGTCAATAACGAAATCTATTTTTCTCTCGACATTTAAAACCTAAAATAATATAAGTATGCGTCTTCATCGACTGCTTACACACCGCCTCGACATCCGCAAACGATAAGCTACTGTTCTGCATTGTGACCGGCAATCGTCCTTCGCGCAACTCCGTCACGAAGCGTGACGATCCAATGTACCCGTAAGACTCACCGTTGTACAGAGAAAAAAGTATGTTCTTCGTCATTGTCTCTTTGATGTCTGTGGAGAGTGAGCTCAGAGCCTGACTGTGTGGGCAGTGGGTAGGAGTTATACTACAGAAGCATTCTTTTTATGTGATACAGACATATATCTGTTTATATATATATGTATAAAACATATATTCAAATCTGGTTTAAAGAAAAGTGGATGTTTTCAAAAGTGTGCCGTGATACTCAAAGGTGCAGTTAGATTACTAAAGTAGCAGATAAGCAGTAGGTCTGTAAATGTAAATGACTCTAGTACACAGGTAGGGTCTAACTATGTACTATCGACTTGACAATGAGAGCCTCATTCGTGAATATGAAACAGAACACATATACCTTCAATTAGACGTATACGTCCAGAAATTGATGTAAAATGTAGATCTGAGACTAAGGAACGCCTAAAATTTAGAACGTACCTGGCAATCAATAACGCTGCTAAGCCAGCAACAGTAGCGCTCGCACCAATGGCAGATCCCTTGAACAGAGACGTGCTATCCAGAGCAGCACTGTGTGAACGCAGGAGTATATGGATTCAAAACCTATTGATAAATATAAACACCCACCCACCCACCCATATACACACAGTGCATATGTGTACGTGATGGCTGAGATCGCCATGTGCGAAGAATTTACCACTTACTACGTTTTTTTGAACAAACATATTATCCATAACTAGCTCATACTTCTGAGCAACCTATGGAGATACGAGGCTTTATGGGGGTAAGGTTAAGCTATATCTCTACGAAGGTAGTACACTGTAAATAAATATCAATGCCAAATGAGCGAGACTGGCTATTGCGTCTGACGCTACCTAGAAGTCAAAGTGTACTTGATTCAGTTTTGTACAGACTACACACCAGAACAAACTGACTCTCGAAACAACCAACAGTAGATCCCACTATAAATAAACTTGCATTAAATGTGTACAATTTACAGTATTCTGAAAATCAGCTTAAGCTTGTATCAAGACGTAGTCAGCCCACCCCATATCTCGACTTTTTACGATGGCAGGCTTTGAACCCTATACTTACCGGGCTCATGAGTATGATTATGAAGAATAGGGCGCCAACTCCATTAGCACATGATCCAATACATACTTATTACTCTGAAAGTGGAAACATCCCTCACAAGATGTACACGAGTGACTCGTTGGACCCGCACGCACAAATCACACTTGCAACCAAGCGTCGCATATGATTGGAAAATAAATTGATTGGCTCTCTATTTGCCGAAACCACACCACTATTGCTTTAACTAGAACCCATGCAAGGTATTTCATGACTCACTACAAGCGCAGGTGCCGCAACTACTATTGAGGAAAACTATCTGCCTACACCGAACAGTTCACAGCCATACAACCATCAATAGGGTATGTCCCGTTAGTTGTCATCACAAACACACAGCAATGCTGTGAATAGATCGTACGCAAGGTACACCATGAATAAGTACAGGCGTAGATGTCGGGTGCGTCACTGGAATGTGACTGCAAAAACAATCCACTCGCAAACACACGAGCTTTGAAAACGATACATCAAGCAACCTATGTGTAGGATATGCCTGGCTAACTACCACCTCAATCACACCACGATGCGTAAGATACAATACATGCCAGGCACACCTTACCTAACTTAAGGCAGAGGTGATACATTTGTCAACTGGCAAACAGCTGCCAGGCTGACCAAAAAATCAGAATCGCACCACAATGCTTCAAATAAAATACGTGGGGGGCACATAATATTTAACTATAGGAATTGTGTCGATTTTGTCCAATAAACAGAAACTGCTAGGTTAGCCATCACACTGAACCACACCGTAATGCTTCCAATAGGATACAAGCAATGCAGCTCATACCTTACTACAAGCGTAGGCGTCGAGTTGGTCATCGGAAAGAGACTGCCAAACACATTCCACCCGCCCACAGGATCGCAGTATCCTCTTCGTAAGCACACGTCCGCATCACCTGCGCCATG